TTTTGAGCACCATACATATACAGTTGTTCAGTACAACGAAGGCTTTTATTTGGTATTAAAATAATTGGTATAACATACAAGAGAATGAACAAAAGACAATTTGATTAAAAAAAATTTGACCAAAGTTGCGGAAGAATTTTTCCAAGCCTTGTGTTCTAAGATTATTGTGGTCTTAGAAAAACATTTCCAATCAAATTCTTTTATATATTTTTGTACTAGACACTTTGCTCTTTCTAACAAAAAAACAATCAAGTCTCTACGACATTGCATTCCAGAGTTATATCAAAAACAAAATTAATACAAAAGTTTTGCCCCACCCGTTAATAGAGGATTTTCGAATATTCCGCTTGAATCGCCTCATGGGGGAACCTCAACCAGTCATAAAATGCTTTTGCAACAAGGCTTGTGTTGTGGAATGTGTAATGATTCGTACCTTAGTAGCTTGCTTTCTGAGTTCTGATCTACTTCAGAGTTTGTTATAGAAAGTTCCTTGCCATCATTTCGACCTAAATCTTTGTTCATCAAGAAATCATATGAACACCGCAGTCATATAAAAAAAAGTGTTAGCTACGATATAATTTTTATAGCCGAAACTAGCGGCGTTAGATACGGTTGATAAGATATCTCCATGGATAAAATTTAAGGTTGAAATAATGACATTCTCTGTACACTAGACGAGAACCGCATTAAAATGGCCCTAGTTGAAAAAGAAACTAATAAACATATGAATCATTATAAGTTTTTATCTAGTCACAGTAGACTACACCTAACGACACAAGTTTTCGTCTCCAAAAACGTTCTATCAGTCGGTAAACTTTTCTCATTAGTGAACGAATACTCTGAATTCAGTACTGATGCTACAGAAGTATTAAACAAGTCTTTTTCGAAAGTTAGATCATTTGATGATAGTATACATTATGAAAAAAAGCATGAACATCATTGACAATTTTTCAGAATGTAATCGATCTTGTAAATCACTGTTGTAGAGTTTTGAAAACGTAACTGTAATACGCTGTTTATTTAATACCGACAATTGTCACTATTTTTTTATTTTATCTTTGGCTTGATCAACTTCGTTTGTGATTTGTTTAGCAACACGTGTTTTTTACAATAATTTCAATAATTGAAGATCAGCTTTCATGAACTTTAGAATATCTCTGTAACGACAAAATGGATCAGTAACTTGACGCCACTCTCGGTGATTATGTTTATTGAGCTACTTCACATACAACACACGCTTATATAGGAGAGAGAAAAGAGAGAGAGAGATGAATACAGGAAAGAACGATAGAGAAAGGATAGAGAGGAAAGAGGAAAAGAAGATCAGTGGAGTGTGACATGAATATCGGCACAATCTCAAAATGAGAATGTTCACAAAAAAGATAAAACCATTCCAAGTTGAATCAATAAAAAAAACAAATCATCTTTCACAATCGTTTTCTAACTTAATTTTTATGTTGACAGGCACGGAACTTTTTTTTATCTCAAATAAATTGAAAGAAACATTGACATAGAAAAGAATCGCGCATTTTTGTTTTGTCTAAATCTTTAAAGTAGAATAAAAATTCCTTTTCCATAATTTGTTTTATCATTAATCAATGATAGTTTTCAAGAAATACCATAAAAAAAAGATCTTAACATAATTAAACAAAAATTCAAACAATTATTAACACCATTAACAATCGTTCTTTGTCATGAAATTCAACGATTTAATCTACTAACATCTATTATGTGGAAATCACTGAATGAATTAAAACAAGCATTAAATGATCAAATTAGTTTTTCATTTCAATTGGATGAAATAAATAAATATTTTTATCATGAACAAATACCGTTATCATGGAGATCATATACACCACAAACAAAAGAATCACTTGGAAATTGCATTGAACATTTTCAGCGAAGGAATCAACAATATGAAAAATGGATACATGATGGTAAATATTTCCCTGTCAAACTTTTAAATTTTTTATAAAAGGCTTTCCTTTTGTCTAACTGATGTAGGTAAACTTAAAGTAATAAATTTAAGTGGGTTACATGTACCTGAATTTTATTTACCTGCTATTATGGAAACAGCCGCATGAAAAAATCAATGACCTCTAGATAAAGTAACATTTTATACACATGTTACAAAATGACGAAACATAGGTTTGAATATATTTTTTCTTGAAAATAAACCAAAAACAAAACATGTTCATTGACAATTTAGATGATATCGATGAATCTTTGCAAGGTATTTAATTAATCGAAGGCTTGCATTTAGAAGGTGCTGAATGGGATATAGAAAATAATTCTTTAATTCAACAATCAAATAAACAACTTATTCAAATGATGCCACTGATTAAAATTATACCTATTGAAACACATAGATTGAGCATGAATAATTATTAACCAACTCTACTGTATGTGACAAGTGATAGTCGAAATGCAACGGATGACAATATACAAAAGATATAATTGTATTTTGATTTTATAAAATAAAACATTTGAAATAATGCAACTATTAATATGCCAAAAATATCGTTCTCACATAGATTCAAAAGTTTCACAGCTTCTGTACCGATATTTTTACAACAATGTTAGTAGTTTCATGTTTTAATTTATCAGAGGAGCAAATGTGTGTGTGGGTGGCGGTGTGTAAATGAAGAGAAGACATTCCCACACCCACACCCTTCATAGTTAAGACTTTGAAGATGATGGCTGGTAACGATGATGGGTTGAGTTACAATAGTCGTCATATGATCAGCATAAAAAACCTGAATTGATGATATTGTAGAACTTTGGAAAATAATGAATATCTGTTTTTCTAAACCTATTAAAATATACATACAATAGTGTATTGAGATCTGCTGTAGATATAATTGATATGTACAATCGACTTATTTGCTAGTTAAATCAATGTTGAGACTAATAATAATGTTAAATCAAGAAAGAACGAAATATGAAAGTGCAAAAACAATGAGCGAACAACAACAATGCAAACAAAAATTAAGACGCCAGTAAGAAAGAAGAAAAAAATTGTTCGAAATGCAGAAATAAATAAGATAGATCCTTACACTGGTGATCGATTCTCTAGAAAAATAACTATAGTCTAAGAGAGATTTTTTCAATTCAAATATTCTGCACTATTTTAACGAGGCTAAAGAACATATCTGAGTTCCATATTTCAGTCCCAAAGAGGTTTCGGTAGCAAGTTGTTTTTTTGCATAATTTTTTTGTAATTTAGAATAAAGAGCAGTTGATTTTCTGCTTTTTAACATCAGTCATTTTAAATCTTGATATTCATTATAATCTCATATCCATTTTTATTTGTAGCATATCGCTGGAATAGGAAAATGTAGAAAAATCCAATGCTACCATCGTTCATATCTATGAAGAGAAAACATTTTTCAGATAATCAAAATTTTGCAATGGTTTACTCATTTATGCGCGGTATCATTTTGCTTCTTGTAATCGTATTTATAGTTCTACTTGTTATTTTAAAACAATCTTTCTATTCCCTAGTGTAACTTGTCTCAAAAGAGCACGAACCAAAATCAATCATCTAATGTACGTCAAAAGATTAATATTTCATCTGATAATGATCAAAACTTTTCATTTCCTGACGAATCACCTCTTGTTCGTGCCTATTTGGATGTTTTTGGTGATACTCTCTGCGGCTTAACACTTCACAATCAAGAACGTGCAGTTGATGGTGATCTTAATCCAAGGGGGAAAAAGCAGATTTTAAGATTTTAAGATTTTAAAAGATTTTAAAAGATTTTGAAAGATTTTGAAAGATTTTGAGAGATTTTAAGAGATTTTAAGAGATTTTAAAAGATTTTGGAAGATTTTGGAAGATTTTAAAAGATTTTGGACCAGTGCTGCCACCTTTTGCCGTTCGAAAAGCAGAAAATGATCTATAAAAAGCAGAAAATGACAGAAGTTTTATTGTCAAAAAGCAGAAAAAAAAGCAGAAAGTTTTTTTTTAATATCAAA